AACATGTGTGTATTTTGTTGTTGCTTCTGGTATCGAAAGTGTCAAAAACTGTTGTGATTTTTTTTTCATCTAAATCAAAGCGTGCCATGTGAAATACAAAAAAGTTTAAAAATTTACAATTGGAAAAAATGAAAATTGTTCAAACCAAGGTACATTGAACAGGTAGTATCAGTAGAGCAGCTGATTTGATTTATTTTCAAATTATTTGGTCTCGAAAATGTCAAATATTTTTAATTTTTTCTCACGAAAATTATAAGTTGTTAAAATCCATTTGCTTGTGAAACCTTTTTCCATACAAAACAAGCGATTGAATAGCAGCTTTTGGAACGTTCGCCCAACTCGGCAGCACGACCGCTGATTACTGGGCCTTGCAAAGGATGGATCAATGCTTCGAGAAGCAAACAAATTTACTAGGAAAGAAAGTTGCATCAATTTTTATTTTTTCCAATTTCAATTTTTTATTTTTTATAATTTTTTGTATTTCACATGGCACGCTTTGATTTAGAAGAAAAAATTCAGAACAGTTTTTTACACTTTCGATACCAGAAGCAACAACAAAATACACGCAAATGTTGTTTTTGCTCTACTGATACTACCTGTTTAATGTGCCTTGGTTCAAACTTTCTTTCTTAGTAAATTTGTTGCTTCTCGAAGCACTGATCCATCCTTTTCAAGGCTCATTAATCAGCGGCTGTGCTGTTGAGTTGGGCGAGCGTTCCAAAAGTTGCTATTCAATAGTTTGTTTTGTATAGAAAAATGGAAAAAAATTCTGTAGAATTAAGGCCGATTAAATTTTTTGTGCATAAGGACGATTGGGTATTGAAAATGTCTTTTAACATTTTTCATTGATTATCCTTGAAATTTTCCAATAATTATTTTCGAAAAAAATATATGTTAAGGACTAATATGCCCTCGAGCACATCCTCGAATTTCGTCCTTCTAACTTTCATCGCTTAAAAAATAAAACGAATTAAAAGGACATTTTCAATACCTATTCGTCCTTGTGAACCAAATAATCTGAATGGTTTTTAATTCTACAGAATTTTCGCGTTCATTTGGTGTCCATATTGTTGTTGTACATTGGAATGAATTTCTTAAATAATTTTAAAAGTAAATCATGTCATTAAACTACTAAGTCCTTTAAAAAAAATAATTTCGTCAGAGAGAAAAATTAAAAACGCCGTTTTACTATATTTGGCCAACAGTTTCGGAGGTGTATTGATTGTGTTTCGATTTTTTGGTTTTTGTCCCACGGTGTTATAAATGATTTATTTAAAATCACAGTTTTTTCGAAAAATAACGATTTTAATTTTGATCGGAGATGATTACTGAAACATCGGCTTTTGATATTCTGCAACAATATTGTGGGTAGTTTTCATGTTGGATTAAAAATTTGTCTACACTTCCGTGTAATTCAACTTGAATTGACTTTTGACCTATTTTAAACAGGCAGAAACCCTCCTGCATCTAGTTTAGAAATGACGCTTCTTCAAAATCATTTCGATGGGTACCCATATTGTAATAACTCAATTAACTTATAAAATAATTTGAACTTAACTTTTGAAACAGGTGGCAACCCTCCTCAAAATGTTTTTAAACTACATACAAACTTATTAAACCGCTTTTGTTCAGTTCAGTTTGTTAAAGTGCTTCTTTTTTTAGCTTCCATTATGGCTAAAAATTATCCTCTAAAAATTTGATGCAAAAATAGTAAAATCTAGAGGTTTCGCGTGAACGATTTGTGCCTCCGACTCATGTGCTTAAAATTACTCTTCTTTCAATCCATGCGCACACCAAATCCCTCACGAAATGGAAGTTTTTTTATGTCGTACATTATGTTTTCAAGGTCGATGAATACGTTGCATGAGACCATTTTTCCCGACCGATCCGACCCTTACATTTTGAGATATTTCGAAAGCATTCCTTAACAAACTTTTATATTGTTTACATTTTCGTTTTCGAGGATGCTCATTTCGAATCTGATAGCAGATTTTTCAAATTCAAAATGGCGATCAAATTTTATAATTTTTTTTTTCACCAAACATTCATAAAAAGGGGGGTTTTCGAGTTCGATGATTTCAAATTAGATGTCAGATATTTGAAATTGAAAATGGCGGATCCAATATGGCGTTACCGGGAAAAATATTTTGTTTAAACAAATCTTTTTCGTTTTTGCCATATATTTTTTTCTTATCATAGCTACTTCAAATAAAAACGTTTATCTTTATATCTTATAATATAAGGTTGATAAAAAATGTATTTATCGGTACTTTAAAAAAATACTTTTGGCCAGCAAATAGTAGCTGCCATACCATAGTGGAGCCCCTTGTATATCTTCGACCTTATTTACGACCTGTATAAGTTTTTGGACTAGTCTTGCTCTGCTGGTCTAACAGAATTGAGAGACATCAACCCACCGTAAGACGTAATGGGAGGTTCCCTAATTGCGTTCCTCTTTTATTTCCCATTGTCTATACGTATATTACTAGGTATACGAGGTATTATACATAACTTTGGTAGGTTCCATGACAACTAAATCCGGAATAAATTCAGCAATATTCGCGATTAATTAAAAGCAAATGTTCGATTACCCTCTACGGTCTCCTAGAGCTTTAAGTAGGCAAGAAATGCTCAAATAAATATATATAATAATTATAATATTGAATATATGTATGTATGTATGCATGTACGAGTACAAACAAACTATATATACATATGTATGTCAAAAAAATTAATTTTCGCCTCAGCAATACAGATAAGTAAATATATACAAAATGTACGAAGTATGGTGTGTAGTTTTACGTATATGTACTCTTACGTCAGCATATTTAAATGGGCTTTTCATAAGTACTTCTGCATAATTAATAAACCCTATAGAGAAATATAAGTGTTCTTCTGCTTCATTGCCGACTTATGTCGAAATTAATTACAAATGACATCCGCTTTTTTATGGCTGCAAGCGGCACGTGAATTGTCAATTTCCGCGAAAGCAAGTGTTGTTGTGTGTGTGAGAAGCAATTTGTATTCGCGCAATTAAAACGCACATTTATAAGATAATCTTACAAGTTGTAAAATATGTACAAAATTTGTCTTGATTTCATTACAGGCCTTTTCGATGTAAGTTCAGTGGGAAGAAGGTTATGTGTATGTATATACAGTGGGTCAAACAAATGGCCACGTGGTGGTTTTCCTTAAATATTCGTACTGTTTTTCGAGCTAATTTTGTTTGTTATTTTTCTGTAAAAACATCGTCCAAGCTGTAGCCAAAACCATATAAACCACAGTTTCTAACTTCATACAAAATTTTGGAACATTCAAAAAATTTTCTTCAAAATTTCTACTTTTTATTCTTAATCTTTAGAAAATTTTTGGGTATGCAGTTTTTTAGTGTAACTTTCAAATGGCTAAAAATTGCGTTCATTTTTGAGAATTTTTTTTGATGACGGATTTTTTGACTTTTTTCCATATAAGTATGAATTTCTTTTGAAGCTATGAGTTTTTGTGAATTGCACATGTTATATTAAAAAAAAAAAAAAAACGAAAAAGTAGCCTCCGAAAAAAAAGTTCTCAAAAAGCAACGCGATTTTTTAGCCGTATGAGACTTGCACTTCATTAGACTAAAATTGCATGGCCTATAAAACTGCATACCAAAAATGTTCTAAAGATTCACAT